CCTTGTTAATCAAGTACCCACAGAACCTCCAATGGTCCGATCTCTTAGAGCCTTTTAATTTCAAACAGTTCCTGCTGGGAGGCAGCCATTCAGCAAATTATTTTTTAAAATCTCTAATACCTGGTTATCTAATTGCATTAAAATTAGCAGAATGTTCATAATCTTCAGTTTCTTTCATATAAACGTCAAACTGGCAATGGATAAGGGGTTCAGTATTAGCAGTTTCAAACTAATTATTCTTTAAATATTTGTTCAACATTTATGTAGAGGAGCAGAGAAAATCAGGTTTTCTTTAATTAAAAAGTATATATATATATATGCACAATTACTCAGTTACCTCATAAACAAATCTGTCATCAAATGTTCAAAGCAAAGTCTATATTGGGGAAGGGGACACACACACACACACACACACAAACAAACATAAATTTGTATAGTTCTTATTCTACAGTTTCTGTGTTCATGCATTTTTTGTCAAATCAGACAATTAGTGGCAGTGTAGAGGGCATAAAAATAATAAAATAAATTAATAGACTCCGGAAAGTTGCACCATGCTGTGCATTATTTGGGTCCAGAATTTCAGTGGAGACTGCATGAGCACATTGCCAAAATACTCAATGGAGGGAGGGCAGCACTTGTGGGGAGGGTGTTTCTTTTCCCTCAGTGCCCATCTGCTTCTGTGGGAATGGGGCCAATTTACCCTTACAGTTATGTAAAGAGTAGGGAGTGGACGCCTAAGTTAACTGGCAGCAGTGATGCTTAGATCCCCTTTCAGATTGCTGTTTCCCCTGCATAATCATCTGGCAATCTTAACCCATAACCTGACTGTCTACATTCCCACCTCCGTGAGGAAGGAGCCAAATCATGTGTGAGAGGAGTGGATGGCCTGTGCTTTGGCATGAGGTTTTTGCCAGGGCTGCATATAACCTTTTGTATTGAGGGATGGGAGTGGGGTAGGTGGGTGAGCAATGCCTCTTTGTCTATTCTGAGCCAAAGACAAAGGCTTGGGTAACCATTATGCCCCTCCTAGGTGGGTAAGGTATTCTGTATCTGTAGGATCAAAGTGAGGCCCAGGAGACAGAGTTATGGAAGAGTGTGGAGAAGTTGAGAATATTGCCAAGAGAGTGGTTGAAGTGATCACCGTAGATGCTGTGCTAGGAGGAAGGTGGTATATGAGAAAGAGAGGTGGAGGGGCTGGTGGCCTGGATGAGGTTGAAGAGCACCTGTAGTGGGAGATGGGGGTGAAAACATTAAACAAAGAGAGGTTTGTTGCACATGGGACCTCCTGATATTGCTACACAGGTGGAGTGATGACAGGTTCAGAGTAGAGCTATGGCAGAGGGTTGTCCCAGTGGAATGGACGTGAAGGTCCTGGGAGTTGTGGAGAAAAGGAAATTTGAGGCTAGGGTGTTGATTGGGTCATCAGTGAAAGCCAGACGCATTCTTCAACATCATGTAGAGAAATGAAAGTGAAGAATGTAGGAACAGCAGAGAGGGAGGAAAACAGTAAGGTTTAGCAGACAGTAGGCACCTGTCGGGAAAGAAGGGTGTTAGTATGTAGGTGAAAAGATAATGACCCCAAAGTGGCAAAGTAACAAAAAGGCACTGAGGCTAGCCTTTCCCCCATCAGCCCTACCCGCATCTCTCAGGTGAGGACTGGGAAAATGACTAGCCTCTCCTGGGAGGTCAACATGGGAAGCAGGATCCTTGGGCAGAATCAGGTTTAGGTGAGACTAGGAGGTAGATGTAGCATTTTGTGAAGTTAAACAGTGTCTTTATAATGGAATCAGGGTACTAGATAGGAAAATAGAGAGAATTTGAATGAAGGTCAGCATTGAAAGAGAGGGAGTTTCCCAAGGTGACACAGAACAACATGGAAATGAGCATCTGAGGAAGAAAAAGGATATTTGGTAGTGGTCAAGGACACCAGGACATTTGCTTTGAGATAGTGGTCAAGGACACCAGGACTAAGAGCTATGGGGGATACATGGAATAGGTGCTCCAAGCAGAAACCCCAGGCAATGTGGAATGTCTGGGGATAGCAATTAGGGCCCTGCTCTTTTGTGCTGAGGTCAGCAGAGACTGGCTAAGATGGCTGTGATTGGTTCCCATGTCTGGTTAACAGGATAATGTCATTTTTGTCCCAAACTTCTTTAGGATTACATAAACTCATGGGCCACATTTGGAAGAACCTTACTGAATTAGGCCCAAAGTCTATTTAGTTTAAACTTTCAATTTGTTTCAAGTTATTATCACCAATTTGTTCCACTGTCACCAATTAGTTCTTGGGTTTCAAGAACTAATATTAGAGCATTTATTGGAATTGTACAATAATTACTATTCAAAATTCAGCACCACTTTCCATCATTCTTCAATAGATTTTTTTTTTGGCCTATTGTTATTACTTGTAAAATACAGGTTATAAACTTTAGATTTTCTTAAAAAAAAAAACTGAATTACATAAAATCAGGAGGGTATGTTTCTAGTGTAGAATGACTATTTTGACACTGATNGGCCTATTGTTATTACTTGTAAAATACAGGTTATAAACTTTAGATTTTCTTAAAAAAAAAAACTGAATTACATAAAATCAGGAGGGTATGTTTCTAGTGTAGAATGACTATTTTGACACTGATGGTAGGGCTCAGAACTCAAATGCTATCTTAAAACTACCCTTAACAAAAATCATAAATAAAAGTCCCCCCGCCTCTTTTTTAATTCTGATGCACAACTAAAAATGAGAAACTCAGCACTTTCAGCTGACACTTACATCATTTTAATGCTTAATGGTCTCTTAAATTGACCGTATTAATACTACTGTTGATGCCATTTATTCTGTGCTGCTGGCCTCTGACAGCACAATGGAAATTTGGGAACTTGTAAGAACAAGTGACATGTCAGATACCAAATCTGCCTACCTAATAGTATGTGTGAAGGAGACTGAAACTCTGATTTAGTAATGTTTTTGTTTAAAATGTCTGGATTGTAAAGACAAAACAAAATTATTTTTTCTTTTTTTATCCTTGGAATTTTTCTGGCTTTGCTTCTTAGGAGTGATTCTGCTTGCAAAGTGTAGGTTGAAATTTTAGATACGCATTGTGAATTTAAATATTAAATTGTATCCTGTGACAATTGCCCCTTTGAGAGTGACTGGGAGTCCTATGAACCACACGTTCCAGCCCATATTCTTCATGCTAGGTGTCTGGATGACGCGCCTATCCCGAAATATTGTGTGTTCAGTGTCGCTCATAGCTAGCAAACAACAACAGCTGACTCTCTAGCCAGAATCCCCCCCCCAAAAAAAACAAACAACAACAACAAAAACTCAACATCAGTAAAAAGGAGAACAGAGAGTGGATTGGTAAGGTGAACCTCTCATCTTGGCTGAATTTTCAATTTGGGCATCTGAAAGAAGAGTAGGATTTTTGTGGTTTAGAAAAAGATCAACTTACCTATGTGTACTGAAGCCCCAGTGCAGAGGAATATGGCCTGCAATCATGTATTTGAAATAAAACAAAGCCAGGTATCCAACATGGGTTACTGTTGGCCCTGAAAATTGGTGTTCAATGAAAAAGTGACCTTTTGTACCACCCCCACCTCCCCCCAGGATAAGGCAAAGTTGTCCTCACATATTGTGCTTTGCTTTTCTGCAGGACATTTGCGAAGATATCTCTGATCATGTGGAGCAAATTCATGCCCTCCTTGAAACGGAGTTCTCCCTGAAGCTGCTGTCCTACTCCGTCAACGTAATTGTGGACATCCACGCAGTGCAGCTCCTCTGGCACCAGCTCCGAGTCTCAGTGCTGGTTCTGCGAGAGCGCATTCTGCAAGGTCTGCAGGACGCCAATGGCAACTACACCAGGCAGACGGACATTCTGCAAGCTTTCTCCGAAGAGACAAAGGAGGTGAGTATTTTCTTTAAAGTCTAGTAATGCTTTGTCAAGTGTGCCCATTTGAGAATGTTTTCAGTATAAAGATGTGTGATAGGAATTCTTTGAGGGTAAATACACAGGCCCTGAGCCGGGCTTTGAATCAAGATATAATGAACAGAAGGTAGGACACTTCTTATGTGAATGGGGCTTTAGATCAGAGTTAACTTACACCTGATACTTTGCACAGAAACCATCTATAGTTGTCAGTGCTCACCTGGCTTCCTGTTCCCCATGCAATTATTTAATATTTATTGAACACTTACTATGTGCCAGGCCGTAGGTGCTAAAAATACACTAATGATCAAAACATGGTCTCTACGTTCAAGGAGCTTCAAGTCTAGTGGGGAACAGAGACAAGTGAACAGACATTAAGGCCAAACTGTGATAAGTCTGCAAGATGCCATTGGAGGACAGAGAGAGGGGCACCTAATTTGACAGGTGAGGCTTTCCAGAAGAAGCAAGTCTAACCTGAGACCTGAAGGAGAGGCAGGATGAGACTGGTGAAGAGCAGTTGAAAATGTTCTAGACAGAGGGAATGGCATGATCAAAGACCCAGAGGTAAGAGAGAGAATGACAGGCTGAGAGAGCTTCAGGTAGGACCGTAGCAAAAAGCTTGAGGGACCAGGAGGCAGAATTTGGGCTGATAGGTAAGCAGAGGTCAGATCATGAAGATAAAGAGCTTTAAAAGCCATGTTAAGAGAATTGGACTTTATTTTGAGCACAAAAAAATGTTTGTTCAAAGAACTTCCATGATTATATTTGGGCTTTAGAAAAATCATTCGCAATGCAGTGAATCAGATGGGCATTAGAATGTTATACAACCAATATATTTGATTTTTCTTACTCACATTAAGAATATTTTAAAGAGCTTGTTGCTATTTTTGATGGATAACTTAAGAATAGACACTGTAAATTTGAATCCAAGTGAACCATCTTCCCCACTCTTAAATAAAATCGACACATATTTATAGAAAAAAGCATTGTGCTTGTTCAGCAGGAGCTATACATATACATGGAGACTAATGTGTGTGTGTGTGTGTGTGTGTGTGTGTGTGTAGTCCCTTGGTTCTTGACACCCAGTTTAGTGCTCTATTAATTTTGTGG